GAAAAGGCAAACTAATGTACCGTTGATTACTGCCGGCCATGTGCTAATGGCCTTACCTGTGACGCTTTCACTCACTTTTGCACATCTGCTGATGCAGGAAGAGAGGGAACATAATATCGGATTGGAGAAAAAACTTTGCTTCTCGCTCTAACGGTGCCTATCGCGCGTGCAACAAAGCTAAGTTTTATGAGAACTTGAGAACTCTAATATGTACTGGGAAGAATAACCGTGAAATTGTAGTAGGTTTTCATTAGATGGCAAGTTGTCTCGTTAGTCAATGTTTAGTCAGACGCCTGATCGTGAAATCAGAAGCACTCCGAAGACAGTCTATCTTCTCAGGAAGTAAGAGTTTTGGATAAACGAAAATCTGATAGCGGCCAAGCGAGAAACAACCTGGGGGTTGTTTTGGCGCATTGACATTGGATGACAGATTTATGGGAATTCCGACACCATCAGAAACACAATTTTGGGGAACCAGCATTTGATGTTTCTAAAGCCAACGTAACATAAGCAATGTTTGCCATCTAGATGTCTTATCTGCCAGCACATATGCCATGCATTGCCTGTGTTTTTGCCTTCGGCTGTCATGTTTGGAATGTGTTTTTTTTAAAAAGAGCAAATGTCTTAGTTTGTCTATATTTAAACCAAGCTCTCGGTGAATTAGCTTCGAATACTCTAGCTGTTTCCGCCTATTTACATTTGGGTTTTGATAGAAGACCAGCAATCATGAAATCGATTTCGACCATCCGGTAGCTTGTCACCTAGGTAAATCCCTGAATAAGGGTGACGGAAAATTGGCATCCGAAAACTAGTATTAGACTGACCACGCTCTGCTAAAAATTAAAGATAATTTAAAAGTTCCTCAAAACAGCGAACGTCTTATATAAATAGTTATTAATAATTACATGATCCTAAATAAATCAACTTAGAATCACTAAAACTTATATCACAGATTCTCTTGCCCATTTTGCGTTATAACAGATCAATATTAGTCCTCAAGTCAGGCCGATGGCAACCATACTGATTACTGAAATGGAAATATATGGGCTACGTCAATATAGAGGCTTTGTTGGTGATTTATTTTAAACATAAATAGGAAAGACTTCGAACGCAGACGTCGGTCTCCCTATTACGGCTCAACGGATAAGTGTGGGAGGGTTTTTGTTTAGAGAAACGGTCGCAACCAGAAATGCATAATTCCCGTCTTGGAGGGGTAATTTCCCAATTTTGTGTTTTCATATTTCCAACAGATCGGAATCATAAAACCGTGTATTATTATTCGCTGGGAAAGACAACCCACACATTAGACAGTATTTACCCATTCTTTAGAGGAACCACCTCGAGCGCAGTACAAATAGGTCGGCTGGAACGTGAATGAGACATCATATCCGACATTTTCCGGACGTTCTTCGTTGACAGTTTCGATGGCCCCTCCTCTGACTACTTACTGCCGCATTCAACATACAATTTACAGATATTAGTTTCAAAACAGCACAGAACGATCGTTCGAAGTTGTTTAGGGATTTCGTTTTCAGCCTGATGCCACGGGCAAAGAAAACGGTCATCGGCCGCCATTAATTGGATGTGAGTCTCAAAATGTCGTAACAGTTATGACTGAATAGTTTCCAAACAACTGATGTTAGAGATCAGGGCACAGAAGCGACACGTTCTCCACAGAATAAAGACCTGCGGTGAACGAAGAAAACGGCCAACTGAATTCATCTCATGGGCGAGGGCTTGGATCAATTACCTCCTGTGAGAACTGTGAATCAATTTTGCTCGGAGATTCCTCCTGGACTTTGAGTAGGGCAACCGCATCAAAATCCGTCGTCTAGTTACTAGAATCTGGACAGAACAGTCAAAAATGGGATAGGTGGTCCCAGAGGAGTGCAGACGCCTGAAGTCGAACAACCAATGCTCTCCGATACTATCTCCTTCGAAAATACGATTATAGTATCTACTGACGTCAGTTTGTCTGTTATTCAAATTGACGCCTACCCGATGGGCTAATGTGTGGCAGATGGCGGAGGGGTATTAAGAGAAAGCTAGTTACAAAATACCCATGCTCGTGAATCTTAAAAAGACGCTCTGCGCGACCGGCTATCAAGAAGGGCGTACTTGCAACCTGTCCAGTCAATAAACCTCAGAAGACGATCGAATGAACCGACTGAGAGCAAGTCCGCATGCATAAAGCTGATAGTTCGACCGTCGCATCCGACGATGTCCGCCGTGTGCACCACAGCAAGGTGAAGCAGGCGCAGTGAGTTGTGCGCGAATTGGTTTACAGTGGAAATATACTTGCGCAGCATCTAACGCACCGTCTCCTCCACACCTGGACCTGGTTTCAAGAGAGAGTCAAGAATGCCGGAGGGGGAGGGAACAGGTGGATGGCGCAGCCGAAGCCGCACCTTAGCGCTACATTCCACCATTTCGATCCACAACAAACACTTAACTAGGATTTTGATCAACAACAACAACAGAAAAGTCGCAAGGGACTACGCAGTCAAGCGCACAACCCGTATAGCCAGCGGGAGCGAAAGGACCAGGTACCGGGGAACTGCCATCGCACACCGAGCTACGAGGACCTTGGCTTGCTGATCACGGCATAGCAGACAGTCAGAAGCCTTATACCCATGAATGCAGCTAACAAAAAGTGGAAGTGGGCCGAGACAGGTTTTGGTGACCGAAATGAATTTAGTTACCATGGAATAAGAGGCAGAAACGACTGTATGCAATTTTAACATTCGATGTCGGGTCAGATGATTCAGTCGGTGGGCAGCTTCATTTAAGGGCCAACTTCAGTGTGAGACAAGCTTCAGAATATTTCAGGAACCTTGCTTTTGTTTGTTGTAAGCAGTAAAGGACTACATGAACGCATAGCTAACCAAAAGTAGGTTCAAGAAATCCCGAGACGTTTGCTTATGTCAAAAGTGTTGAGTATTTTACCGGTCCACGACCATAGCCGCGCAGATTAAAAGCTGAGCTTTTGTGAGACCGTACATTTGAAGGCCTGACTAAGCATCAGTAACCACATTTCCCGTACCGCGAAAATGTTGGATGAGGTACGAACTATGCGATGGGGAGGGCGAAATGGAGTTCAGTCACGGTGATTTCCTTCGCTGCTGAAGACATTATTTGGGTGCAAAGTAAGGATAGTAGGAAAATAAGTCTACTGCAATGCATATGGAGTAGGTGAATTAGAGTGATGTAAACCGAGGTGATATAAAAGTTACAAAGGTAGTTAGAATCATGATAAACGGTACTGTGGGTGGCGGGGCGGCTTGTCCGTACGCAGATACAATAGAAAATTCCATTAATTTGAAGCGCTTTGCAAAAACCGGAACCACTGCGAGTAGTTGAAATTGTTCCACAGACTATTCACCTGGGCTCCAGGAGTTACTCGCAGACGTTATTTTGGTCCACTCTAATTATCTTTTTTGTGGTTTTCCGCAGCATCCTACACGGGAACAATCATAACCTTAACCGTCCAAACTGTCGATGACGCTTGGAATACAGAGACTGAAAAGGCGAAGTTACTTGACTGGAGGCGAGTGGCTCTCAGAAAAGGGAAGGTTATTTCTTGTATATCTCCATGCATAGGACGAATGTGAAAGGAACCATCAGCGCTCTATCACCCTCTTCTCATTAGCAGTGGCTTTCTGTGGACATATGCACAATCCCATTAACAACCCTGAAGATCTGTCATAATCAATTTCTTTATGGCGTAAGATTTGTTCAAAATGTACCTAAGGCTCCATTTCGGATGCTGCGTAGCCAAACGCCAAAGCAGGATTAAACACGCACACGACGACAACAGTTCGACCATCGATTTCGACGATGTCCACCGTGTGCCCAACAGACTGCATTGTGTGAGCAGGGACGGTGACTTATGCAGGGGTTTATAGTGCCAGTAGACTTGCGTACCATCTACATACACACTCCCCTCCTCCCCCGCCTGAGCACGGTGTCAAGACAGAGTCAAGAAGACTGGAGACGGGGGAGGCCGCACGTGGATTGCTTGTACGGCTCCTCACCTTGGCGTTTCAACACACCCCCTGGTCCACACAACAAATAACCAGGATTTTCACCAACACAACAGAGTTTGGAGACTGGCACGACCGAAACCGCACCTAGGCGTGCCGCCAACGCCTGGCTCGGATCCCACACTGTGGTGGGAGTGCCATAAATGCCACATTAAAAAGGAGCCATTGCAGCCTGACTCTCAGACCGCCTCCAGTCAAGGAGGTTCAAGTTATCCCGTCAGTTGGCAACCTTCCAAGCCACGGCTTTCAGCGCACCGTGATAGCTTCAAGCGCGTCAGATTGTTTATAGTGAGGAGAAGAGCGCTGAGTCGTCGACCTCACTCTCCCTTCCCATCCCCACACCCCAGCCGCTGTCCGAGCCGGTCAGCAGACTGGAGTGAGAGATGGGCGCGGTGGCTGCCATGGCCGACTGACCATGACTGCGCGTGCCACCGCACAACCTGGCCCCCCATACACACAACACCAGGATTTCACACAACGGGGGTTGAACGGCGTGTCTCTCACTTGTGTGAGAGGGCCGTGGAAGGTGCTGTTTCAGCCCGTCCCGAGGCCACCAGTCCGCCAGCCCACGCAACACACACACAACGCGACGAACTGCGTGAACCGAGAGCAGGCGTCAACCAGCAACCTTCCTATCCACGACGCTTAACGTGTCGCGATAGTCTCAGACTCAAGTCATCCGTTCAGCCGGAGCCGCATGGTGACCGAGTCGAGATGTACACTTCCCACTTTCGGGGGAGGTGGCGGTTGGGTGCTTGCGGTGGGTGATTGTTGAGGTGTGGCGAGGTAGTGGTGGTGAAGGAGGAGGCAGGGCGGGAGCGTGTGGTGGAGTGGTGTAACCGGCAGTTGTCTACCGCAGGTCGTCGTGGATGCGCATGTGGCCGAATAGGCCTATGCGAGGCCTGAAAGTGCGACGGAAATGTGGGCAGTAGAGGCAGGTGCGGTGGGTGTAGGTTGTTAGTCCAGGCACTGATTCTCCAGTCTCTGTGCGATGGATTCGCAAGTGACCGACCAGGCCGATGTGTGAGGTGAAGGTGCGGTCGCAGTGAGGGCAGGTGTAGTCCTGAACCTCATCGCTGGAGTCGGAGGAAGTGGGGGTGGTGTCGGTTGTTGTGTCAGTGTTGGTGATGTGTGAGACGCCCGCCTGAGCGGCCGTCCGGGCAGTGGAGGAGGAGGTGGAGGATGAGTAGGAGGAGGAGGAGGATGGAGGTGGCGGCTCAGAAGAAATGTCGGAGTTAGGTGGCAGCGGATAGGACAAGGAAGAGGACGGCGGGCAGGCGATGGTTGGTGCAGTTCGAGAGGCGCAGTTGATCCGCAGATGTCCAGCAAGTCCGATTCGAGCCCGGAAGGTCCGTTGACATCGAGGACACGTTGAAAGCGGTTGTGCGTCGGCATTGCGGACTGGGCGCAGTTGTGATTTGCGGACTTAGCGTTTCACTTTAGCGGCAGCGATGCGGTTGGCCTTGTAGATCGCAGCGCCTGTTTTCACTGTCCTCCTCCAGGTCGGTCGGTCGATGTCGAGCTCTTCCCAGTTGGTCGGGTTGATTTGCAGACGCTTCAGGGAGGAGTTCAGAGTATACTTGTATCGCCAAATTTGGCCTCCTTGACGACGAGAACCCGTCGCGACGTCTCCGTAGAAAAGTCGTTTGGACAGCCGCTCGTCGTCCATGCGAACCAGGTGGCCGCTCCAACGCAGCTGCATTTGTCGCAACATGGTGTAGATACTGAGGATTCCCGTCTGCCCCTGGGCGTCAGTGTCAGAGATTCGATCCGGCCAGTTCAGCCTCAGGATGCGACGAAGACAACTGAGGTGAAAGTGGTTCAGTCGGCGTGCCTGCTTTGAGTACACTGTCCAAGTCTCCGCTCCGTACAACAGCGTCGGCAGGATGACGGCCTTGTACATCTTTAGCTTCGTGCTCAGTTGGAGACCGTGACGATTCCAAACTGTGCTTTTGAGCCGACCAAAGGTTTGACTGGCTTTCGAGATCCTGTGGGCGATTTCGTCATCGATCTTGGTGTTGCGGGAGAGGGTACTGACCAGGTACGGGAAGTTCTCCACCACTTGTAGTTGGGTTCCGTTCACGCTGATTTGCAGCGCGTTGGGGGGATTGGCTGGGTTGGGTGGCGGTTGGTGCATGCCCACCGTCTTCTGCGTGTTGATGACCAGACCGGAGTTCTCGTATGTGCTCGAGCACATAGTCAAGTCAACCTCACATATCTCCGAATTCCTACCTACCCAGTTAGACTAGTATGCTAACACAATTTTCTGTTAAACCGTCAATTGACGGATTGCTGTGGCTCTCACCGCTGAACACAATTGTGTTCCTGGGATGACTCAAAACGCCTTTAATTAGCCTTAAGATGGCATCACCGTGTACGACCTGCCAAGAAACGGAATAGTCTGTTGAGACGCATAACGAAAAAGATCAAGAGTATCAGAATAGCTATCTCTTATTTATTTGCCGACGTCAGCCATTCGTACCCATATTCCGAGTTGTAGTGCAACTGAGGTTTGAGCTATCTTGCAGAAGGTCATTAGGTTTTCCAAGTACAGCGCTTTTTCCTTAAACTTCTGGTCTCGCCTTCAGGAAGCAGAGATCGAAAATATACAAAATAACATGAGAGCGACCATCGAAGGTCAAAACTGATGAGGTCCGACCGGGAAAATTCAACATGAGCAAAATGATTTCACGTGCGTCAAAGGGGGCCTCGAACTAACTCATACATTGACACACTGCATTGTATTAGGGAATATCACCTAGTATTTAAGTGGTGAATATTTTCGTCGAAAAGACTGACAAAGACGCTCATATTTCAGCTCCTAATTAGTAAAGTCTGACGTCCTGGAAAGTAACAACGCAAAATCTTCTAATGATTGGACATAAATAAGTAATTTTTGTGCAGAAAGAGAACCAATATAGACATAAGAGATTGGGATGACCAGTTCTTTCTTGTTAGCTCTCGTCAGCCGGCTATACCCAACTACAGGTTTAAATAGCCTAGGATTCGAACTCAGATTCTTTGGCCACGTAGCGTTTTCAAGCCTATCGCTTTGGCACTGCGCCACGAGTTCGTTGTCTTGTCGATTTTCGCCTAACATATCTCGGACAGCCGCGTCTTCATGTACTTATAAGGCTCCAAAGCACATGTGCACCCATGATTCCCGCAAGGACAGTAAGTGACCGATCTCATGAAATGTTGACCGAAATTGTTAAATGCGTGTTTAACTAGGAAAGAGGTCTTAACTGTGTTTGCTTTATTGGTTTTCTTGCGGCACGATACCGTTGTATTGCACGCGCGCTAAGATATTGGTTTTTAAACATACCTCTTTTCGGTCGCCTGCAATGACTGTGATCGATATAAAATGACCGCTTAATTAGCGGGCATTTTTTGCACTGCTTATCGATGCCCTTATAAATTGAAATATATTTTGATAAAAACATGCATAAAATAGTTATTGTACTCATTTGGCAGCAAATCACGTCTTCGTCAAATTCTACATGTGAAAAGAGGGTACCTTTCGGTTTAAAAGGATTCTAATTAGAACACTTTTAAGGCTCTACCATGTTCATTCGAATGTTATTGCTCCGTCTGCTGAATAATGTTCCCATGAATTATGCAGCATAGTTCATTCCGTTGCAAAATTTCATGAGCACTACATGGCATCCACCTAATGGAATAGAGAAATGGGGGTTTTCACTAAGCAAAAAGTATACAGTTCGTAGACTTAAAAATCTAAACGCAAATGCAACGGCTGATTGAGGTCAAAACTATCCTGGAATTGAAAAAAAAATTAAGACGGAAGGATGCTCTTTCTTCATGCAACGAGTTTGCAGAAGATATGATTTGGAACCAAATCAGTACGAGGAGGGATATTTTTATGCACGTTTCCCTTGAAATATTTTCGAATCTACTTAGACATCGAAAATCAATAGAAAAATGCCTATTAATTAAGTGGTCATTTGTTACTCAGTTTGGTTCTTGTGGACGATTAAAGGGAAGTACATCTAAAAACCAACATTTCAGCGTACCTGAAATATCACAATCTTATACTGTAAGCCAATCAATACCAAAACCACTCATAAGCATTCCTTACTAATAGAATACCCAATCCACAATTTCGGTCAACATTTTACGAAACCAGTGACACATGCGTTAACCTTTTTGCTGCTACAAACGAACTTCCGGTAGCTAGTCGAAACTTTCTAAAAGAAGAAATGAAGGTGAAATACTGTTTAAGCAGAATCGGAAAATGGGAGGTATGCGAGTAACCGTTGATTCAAGCAGACACATTCAGTTTTCCCCAACTCCAAAGAAATGGTGCAAGACCGAATCCAAGTCTTCTTTTTCAGTTAGGTTAGCAGAAGGGAAGAGTAACTTAGTAACATAATCCACAAACAAGGGTTGGTTTATGCGATGCACTCACAAATGCCAGAAACAGGGTAATTTGCACAGACATTGTGCGCAGCTGCTTATGTATGCTCGAGGACGTTGAAAATAATACTGCTTACAACGATTTTTACCGGTTGTTAACTGGAGCATACTCATTCCGTCTGCCCTGTAGGTCAACTCAGAATGTTTAATCACGGGCGCTTACCGAAGTGAATAATAGTTGAAGAAACTGAACAAAACTTCAGATTGAATTATGGTAATTGCAATAGAGTACGGGCGGAGAAACGAGTTTCCAAACTAGTTCTTATTTAAAAATTTGCTTTCTAGAGACCTGCTATAGTGTCTGAGAACCGCCATTAAACCTCACATGCTGCGCGAGGGAAAACCCTCTTCATTGTCCGGAATTGTCGTTTCTGAATAGTATAATTGATACGCAGTCCTTGCGGGCTGACTTGCTCGCCGCACGCAAAAGAGGTTAGTTGAGGATTTAGAGAGTTAGATTTATGCTCTTAGAAATTCGGAAAGCAGGCCGACAGGATAGGGAAAAAATGCGTGAATGAAGTATGCATGTCTTGCTGGCAGGCGCATCGCATCGACCATGCAGACCACTGAACCTCACAGGTCTTGCATAATAAAGACATAAGCCGACGTTTATAAATATTGTATCTAGGGTCCGCCCTAATCGGCTAAAATGGGCTCAAGTTAATCGCCATCCGTTTTCTGTAATTTAAATCCCCTTAGTTTAATGCTACAACGCAAAAAAATTGAACTAAACATTTCCCATGTACCTACCATGGAGTGGCCACATGGGGCAAAAGCCTTATGACAGCTCGCTCCCGCGATTTTCAGCGCATGCCACCGTTTCTCCTTCGGGACAGTGGTGACATTCATCGTTTACAACTGACGAACTATCAGCCCAGAGTTCAACGGAACTCCAATATAGCCAAGGATGCTAACGGCCGTCTTTCCCCGTAAAAGGCTAACAATGAACCCCACATGGACTCGCATATGTCGTCTGTCATGTCATCCAGAGTCGTTTAACCTCCGTGGCCCACCTTCTGCAAGTTGAAGTCATATCGTAGCCATTAATCTTAAATTTGCTTGCATTCTTAGCTGTCTTGGACTGTTTTGTCCGATCATCTTCAATTCAGGCCACCACACTGTTCGTTCTTCTCTTTTATCCGTCACAATGTCTGCATCACGTTGTGACCTGTAATCGGAAAGACAATATAGTGGACGAGTTTGTTTTTGCGTCCACAAAACGCCTGACAAAACAGTCTTAGCATGGTATATTTCACGGATTCGCCCTAAGCAGACCCCCGACTAGTGGTCGATTTTGCCTTTGTGAGAATGGGCAGTGTATTCTGCAGTTAGCCATCTCTTTTTGTAACAAGAGACCGAGGGTCTTCTGAGTCCGCGTGGCACGGCCATCAGTCTTTCTCTTACAACCATAGGTAAGCTGAGGACAGTGCTTCGAGAAATGTTTTCATCTTGAAATGTCTCCATTTGCGCGGCCGGCACTGTATAGACCATGATAACGGATCGCTGCCTACTTAGTGGATTTGCGTAGGAATATCGTCTTAATTAAAATTGTCTTGCCTCTGAGCGTTCAGAAGAGCCCTGGGCGGCTACTTTTGCCCGTTTTCGATGGCAGCGGTTGTGACTTGTTTTTTGTGTGGAGGACGAACGTGTCCTACTGAAGTTAGTGAGTTTTGTTGCCACGTTAATAGTTCAGTATACGACTCTTCACTGATGTTTTACAAAAGCATTTCATAATGGTAAATGAAGTTCATTCCTGACGACATCATACAGTATTTAGACTCTTAGACACGTAATCTGTCTTCAGACTGTTTATACAATTTCATTGTCCAAGCCCCTCCGTGTTTGAATTCTGCCGATTTACGCGTGCCGGTATAATTTCTAAACATTGGCAGCGGTCGGACTGGCATAATTTCTTAATCAACTCCCGGGGATAGAGGTTCTTAAATAATCAAGAACGTCCGCGCTACTTCTCCTCTGTTGCTGCATGTTCACTATGAGTTTCTGACTGAGTACTTTTGAAGGCTTTTTTGATAGGCTGGGTAGATGTGGCTATTGTTGTTGTGTGAGAACTTGTCTCGATCATCTCAATCGGTCCTCGCGATGTCCAACGGAATCCAGTAGAAAGTTGTCGCCCAGTTGTCCAAGGTCTGGTAGGCCGTGACTTTCCAGACAGTGATTGCGTAAGTCGGCTTAGAGGGAGGATGTCCTGTGACATCTTGATTCGGAACTAGTGATACACATCAAGAATACCCACTCCAAAGTTCTAGAATTTGCCGAACAGCTGACAAAGCCTTATTTAGTGGCGTGCGGGACTCATAACATCGTACCACCACTGACGTTTGATCATTCACTAGGTGACTAATTTCTCAGATGGTCCCCTAAATTTGCCCGTGCGGTTGTTGTGCTGGACAAACAGAGGGGCTTAATCGGATTCTGGCAGGCGTTATCCGGAATGCGCACACATAACAAATGCCAGCATTGAGGTGTGGTGACCCGCACTGTCGCCTGTTCACTCCGTGTCAACTGAGGTCCCTATGTTTGTTGTGGTATAAAATCCTAGTCTGTATTTTTTTTGGCTCCGGGTTTGTGGTGGTAGCGTAAGTGCGGGTTGTCACTGTGTCAGTCGCCTGTGCCCTTTCCCACCTTCGGTTTTCTTGACTTTGTTTTGACACCGGATCCGCGTCGGGAGGAGGAGAGAGCGCGATAGATGGTGTACAAGTTTAATATCACCATAAACTAATTTACGCTCAAGTCACCGTCACTGCCGTCACCCTGCTGTGGGACACACGGTGGACATTGTCGATATCGAAGTTCTAATTGCCCACAGTTCTGCGTGCAAAATCTCTGCCTCAGTAAAGGCTTGCTAATCCAACGGTCTTCCTTGCCTTCTGGCCTGGGTGACTTAAAACTGCCGGCCATCCGACACTGACAGGTCGTATTAAATAACTCGGTGGGAGGTTATCGTGGACGAAAAGACGGGTCTTGTCCGTTAGTCGAACTACCGGTTACGACCATAAACACCTCGAGTGTGAGAAAAGTTGAATGACAGCCCTGTAGGTCAAGGTGGCTGTTAGGCGCAGCAAGCAAGTAAGGTCATTAAATGACTGGCGGACCCTAAGGACTGCTAAAATTTATTTGGCATCATGTTCTGCTAATTCGCATCCCTTGCTGTCACACAAACCTCCCTAGCGCAAACTACCAGTATAAATGCGTCGCTTACATCTACTTACCTACAAGTAAGTCATATAGAAGTATATAGTTGAGCGGGTAAATGACTGCAGTTGCCCTTCTTCGCCCGTCAGAAACTGATTTTGCGGCGAGTTTAAAACTCTGAAGCACTACTAAGTTTCGTTAATGCAAAGTCCGCCCTTGACCATCATGTGAACTATATAAACAATCTGGCAGGTATTTGGTTGGGTAGATCTTCATCATCAAATAGGAACTTTTAATGCCTAACACCCATCGATTTCTGCAAAAGTACTGAGATGACTTGTTTTGTTTTGCGACATAGAATAGAACCAGATTCCGAATGCAACAAAGTCACATTGCTTTGGCGTACTTACGACACTTACACACTGACCACATCAACAGCGCGAGTAGAGTACGTCCACCGCAGGCATATATTTAAGTCAGCCAGCGTAGTCGCTCGAGTCCTGATATCCGGCGAATTGCACTCAGAATGAGGATGCTGGATTCCACTGCATTGATTCTGCTGGCTGGATGCGCTGTGGTAGCAGCCGACGTAATACAGGTGTCTCAGACTGACGGAATGCCAGCTGTAGGAGCAACTGCAGCAATGCTCCAAAACACCTTGCTCGAAGCCGTTGCAGCAAAGGGTATAAAAAATGACAAAGTATCGGGACGTGTGGTCTACTTGCTGGGCACACATCCATTAGCAGCCCAGACGGCGCCTCAGGGCACGGATATATCGGCTGCTCAAAATCCCTGCAATGCGTGGATGGCACTGTTAGACCCGCGGAGACGATACAGAGGATGTCGAGTGATCAGTACTGCAGTTAACCGTCTTCTGCGCTACGTTAGACGGAACTTGGACTCGAGCCGCATGTACTTGTGGCTGAGGGGTCATCAAATTGAACCGAAAGATTTCATCAACTTTGTTATTGGACAACTATATAAGGTAGTAAACATGCCGATCGATGAAAGTGCCTCAACCTTGATGTATACTCAGTACACAAGCCCACAACCGACGGCGCGCAGCTCAACACCCCCGTCCCCTAGCCCCGGATCGGCGTATCATTCTTCAGCTCCGACGTTCGGCAGCCCATCGCCGGCATCCCGCCCTTCCGCAACGACTTCTCCCAGCTCGGCACCGACGTTCTCCAATACAGCATCGCCGTCCCCTAGCTTAGTACCAACAACACCCAGCTCAAATCTGACGTTCTTAAGCTCAGCACCGACATCCCGTCCTTCGGTACAGACGTTCCCCAGCTCCACACCAACGTCTCCCAGCTTACAGCCGGCGTCCCCCACCCCAGCTGCGACGTCTCTCATCTCAGTGTCTGCGTCGCCCAGCTCAGCACAGAAGATTGCCAGTTCAGGGCCGGCGTCCCCTATCTCAGCAGCGACGTCCTCCAGTTCAGAACCAACGACATTCAGCTCAAATCTGACGTTCTCCAGTACAGCACCAACATCTCGTCCTTTAGCACCGATATCTCCCAGCTCAGCACAGACGTCTTCTAGCTCAGCGTCTGCGTCCCGCAGCTCGGCACTGATGGCGCCCAGCTCAAATCTGACGTCAACCAGCTTAACATCAACGCCTTTCAGCTCAGGTTCTGCATCTCCCAGCTCAGCATCGACGACGACCAGCTCAGCACTGACGTCTACCAGATCAGAGTCTGCATCCTCCAGCTCAGTATTGACGGCGGTCAGCTCAGGCTCTACATCTCCCAGCTCAGCATCGACGACCACCAGCGCACATTCTGCATCTCCCAGCTCGGCATCGACGACGTCCGGCTCAACTCTAACGTCCACCAGCTCAGTAATGACGTCTTCCAGCTCAGGTTCTGCATCTCCCAGCTCAGCATCGACGACGACCAGCTCAATACTGACGTCTAACAACTCAGAGTCTGCATCCTCCAGCTCAGCATTGACGACGGTCAGCTCAGCACTGACGTCTACCAGATCAGAGTCTGCATCCCCCAGCTCAGCACTGACGTCTAACAACTCAGAGTCTGCATCCTCCAGCTCAGCATTGACGACGGTCAGCTCAGCACTGACGTCTACCAGATCAGAGTCCGCATCCCCCAGCTCAGCACTGACGTCTAACAACTCAGAGTCTGCATCCTCCAGCTCAGCATTGACGACGGTCAGCTCAGGTTCTGCATCTCCCAGCTCAACATCAACTGCGCCCGGCTCAACTCTAACGTCCACCAGCTCAGTACTGACGTCTACCAACTCAGGTTCTGCATCTCCCAGCTCAACATCGACACCTTCCAGCTCGTCATCGGCGACGTTCAGCTCAAATCTGACGTCTACCAGCGTAGTACTGACGTCTTCCAGCTCAGGTTCTGCATCTCCCAGCTCAGAATCGACGAGGACCAGCTCAGCACTGACGTCTACCAGCTCAGAGTCTGCATCCACCAACTCAGCGTCGACGACCAGCTCAGTACTGACGTCTACCAGCTCAGGGTCTGCATCTCCTAGCTTAGCATCGACGACCACCAGCTCAGTACTGACGTCTACTAGTTCAGAGTCTTCATCTACCAGCTCAGCGTCGGCGACGTCCATCTCGGATCTGACATCTACCAGCTTAGTACTGACATCGTCCAACTCAGGTTCTGCATCCCTCAGCTCAGCACCGACGACACCCAGCTCGACTCTGACGTCTACCAGCTTGGTATAGATGTCTTCCAGCTCAGGTTCTGCATCTCCCAGCTCAACATCGACGACGTCCAGCAGCTCAGAATCAATAAATTCCAGTTTAGGGAATTAGTCACCAGATAAACTTCGCGCCATTGTCGTTGATTTCTGTTTTATCAATTCGTGACATCACTATACAGGTGCCATTTGTTCTGATCAGTGTGGTTTACTGAATGGACCATAGGTAGAGACTTGACCGCAAGAAAAGAAGAAGATAGTGGAATATGAAAGAAACCTCTGCCGGATTCACCTTGACATATCCAATATATAAATCAGTATATATATATCAGCGAGGATGGGACGACAGAGAATGCGGATAGATTGATACATTACTGTTTCGGACTTATTTTGACTTCATTCAGATTATCATAACCCTGAACAGCAGCCGGGACCAGAAACACAAACATGCGCACAGACGCACCTGATGCAGTCGCTCCACCACTGGGTTCTACCAGGTGGGTCATAGGCACTTAATTTAACCGAAGTTCATCAGTGCCCCGCCACCCGTCATTCCCTGTCGCTTCAGGTCGGGTATTTATTCAATCAGGAATGGTCGCACACGGATCTATTGGCTTCACGAGGCAAAAAAGTTCCGTATGGTGGCAAAGGTCACGAACAGGCAACCAATTACCAGGTAGAAGTCGGCCAAGTCATAATAGCAGCTTGTTTGCTTCGTGAAGCCAATAGATCAGCGTACTATATTTTTCCCGACCTCGGCTGTCGATCACCAAGTTTCACCGCATCACACTAATGTTGCTGATCATGATAAACATGTTTCTGACTGCGCCTTTACACACGTACTGGGTACATGTCTCACTGTTTGCAAGTCGTTTTCTGTGCGTAATTAATCTGGACTGTTCGGATGACGTTGCCGGATTTATGACCTTCTTTAAAGGAGCACTGGAATGGAAGCTGCCGAGGAAGGTCTGCAAATAAACTCGTATGGGACAGAATGGTTGCGTTGATTTTCGTACTCGGTAACACTGTCCTAGCTATGATAGACGGGAAAAATCTTGATCTAATTAACAGCTTTTGTTATCTCCACTCGAACTTCATGTTTACCCGGTAAAAAATTAATAAAATCCATCACCGAATCGGTCAGTCGCACACGGCGTCTGCTTAAACCGTTGGACTTCCAACCAAAAGGTCGCGCTACCGAGCCCCAGGTGTTCCACACTTCGGGGTTGGGTATGACTGGCCGACGATGGATAATAGGCCAGAAATGGCCATTCCAGTCTCCCTTGTCTTTTTCAGTAATGCTATTTTGCCTGTAATACGCGCCACTATGCAGCTGCTGGTTGGGCTTGTGAGAGAGCCCTAAAGCACAACTGGACGAGTGCGTTTCGTAATAAGTTTGGTGGGCGCTCCTCACCATCAGCCAAAACCTTTTGAAATGGCGCGTGACCAACCGGGAGCCCGAACGGACAGTATGCAAGGCCTCTGTTTGTATACGTCATCGGCATGGAAGTGGGACATGACCTGTAAGTTCGGAGTATACGAAGCCACTCTGGGCGTTTAACTAATGGTGGTCGTGCCCGACTGGTTGGTTTTTTAAAAATCCCCCATGATGTTCCCAAATAAGGTGAATATGATTGATCGTCTTCGTCCTCACTCCGGACAAAATGACTTTGGGCGACTGGATGATGTGAATAGACTGTCTATGACTAATACTACTTCCTTCCCTTTATGTAAAATACCGTCGAGACTTCAGTGAAAAACATTTGCGGAGTGTAGTTTTTGTAGACGGTTGGGAAGAAGTTCGTTCAAAGGCCGGCATCTTGCAGTGATCGATATATCTTGGAATTAGGCTTCACGGTAATTAGGGTGACAGTCCTATATACAGTGAGTGATCGATATCATGAAATGTTGGCAGAAATTCTGGAATGCGTTTTCGATTAGGAAGGATTACCTAGGTGGGGTTGTAATATTGATTATCATGCCGCATAACCCTGTATTATTTCGGACTCGCGAGGATGGCGGCTTTTGAATATACTTCTTTTTGTTCTCCGGCAGAAACCACACTCGTTAAGACATGGCTACTTAATTCGCCTGCATTTTTCACAGTTATTTTCGATGGCCTTATAAATTCAAATACACTTCATATGCTTTCTTTTGCTCATCCGGTAGAAAATAACGTTGTCTTCACATTTCGTTCCCGAGGAAAGTGCATATCTCGGCTTTGAAAATGTTTCCCAATTCTCGAATATTTTCAAGATAGATCAACCGTTGCATTAGGATTTAGCGATTGCAGTCTACAAGATGCATTCTTTCCGCGTAATGAAAATCGTATATTCTTTATGCTTTAAGAAGATAAGTATAAAGTTCGTAAAATTTTGCAAAATATGTGGACTATGTCGTACATTTCATGAGGAGCGTCGGTAAACGGACATGTGCGATGCTGCATCTATGGACATCGCATGGTCTTAAAAGTTTCATGATCAGAAACTTTTAAAACCGGGAGATAACCTTTCTTCGGGAATAAAATGTGAAGACAGCGTAATTTTCACCAAACGAGTAAAAGAAAGCATATTTTGTGTATGTGTTCTGTAAAATGTATTTGAATTTATAAGACCATCGGATATCACTGTAGAAAATGCATGTTAATTCATACGTCCTTTTTTACCGAGTGGGGTTTCTGCAGGAGGTCAAAAATAAGTGTATTTAAAAGCCGCCTCCTGGTGAGTCCGAAATACTATAGGAGTATCCCACACGATAATCAATATTACACCCCCACCTAAGTAATCCTTCTTAATCGAAAACTCATTTCAGAATTTCGACCAACATATCATGTGATCGGTCACTCGCTGGAAGTCACCTTTTCGAGTCGGGAACACATTTCAGAATTTCAGTCAACACTTTATGCGATAATACACTTGCTGTAAATGTGGATTAGAAGGCCGCGAGGTGAACAAATGTCGCCGTACAGCACCTGTTAAGTGCCGCTGTTAAGCTGTCCACGAAAGCAGTCCCTAAAGTATGTAGCGCCACAGCAACACATATACGCAGACAAAACAATGACGTCAACCTGGATAACATCTGTAAGTACCGAGCCTGCCTGACACAGGACCTGAACAAAACGCACCTACTTCCAAATGGTCGCGCCTCACAGTAGCGTAATCAGGGTGTTTTTCGTCTCCAGCGGTGGACGAAGGGTGGATTATTAAGTTGGTACTTTTACGGTCTCTCCGCTAATTAAAGGACAATAAAGGTCGCACACGGTTTTATCCTAACGGTAATTGCGATCGCGCTCTACAGCGACTCTAATCTTGAAACGCAGAGGTCTTAACTCCATCTCATTCTTAAGACGAGTAGTTGACGAGCTACGAAGAAGGCGAATCAGTCTTGACGAGATCTCGCATTTATGACCAAGCCTACTGCGGCACAGCACCATCCACGAAGTACTTTGCAAGGCATTATTAAGTCCAAGCCAAATTCTTTCCGCCGATGACACCACAGAAGCGGCTGCCGACAGTCGTAGTGCGAAGAGGTAGGCGGAGGTGACCGGAGTGAATCTTGCAACCACAACCAGCCCTTAGTAACTTTTTGCGTGCTTTTAGCTGGTCATCCCCTTTTGATGACGCACTGTTTGAGCAACAATACAGAGGACCTATCTCGAAACCGGTGTCAGCACGACGCATCGCATTGAAACCTTACACTGGGCCGGCCCATCTTATTGGGATATGTGATCAGTTTCTTTTCATTATGGTCATAATTTGAGCACCATGCGACTCGATTTGTCCTGATGTGTGTTTTCTGAACCAAATGATTGAACGAACTAGTACTGCCAAGTGTGGCGTCATTTCTATAGGCGTTTCCTGCTATGCAGTGGCCGTGGATTCATGCTGCGATTATTTCTGCACTTTTCAATCCCGACATGCTAAACTCCACGCCGTACCACTGTTTGCGAGTCGTAAAAAATTCCGCTAATAAGCACAGGAACGCTGCTAGTTCGTATCGGCTTCCAGTGCTTAAGCTGAGCTCCGCTAGAGTTGATCGGAGTGATTACGACAACGCGTCTTGTGGTCAAAATTGCCGTACTTGTATTAGAAATAATAACCTTTTAGGTACCCAACATCTCGATACGGCATGAGTAGAGACTCAGCTAGAGTATCTTCGGGAGGCAGACGCCAGGTCAATATTTATTTCTTCTGAAAAACGGTGGGCATCTGAAACGCGGCTCCACTTGGTCAACAGTTTATGACTTTTCCACTAGTATCAGTCTCAGTAGGCGTGTTACCATTGCTAATTTCAGCAGGCGTAGTACTACTTGCGATTACCTTCTATTTGAGTCGCTTCACGAACTGTTGTTGTTATGATTCACAATTACGTTAGGGCTTGGATTTTGCGTTTAGGACATAAGGCTTAGGGGTAGGAGTTAGGGTTTGGGCCAGGGTTCAGGTTTAAGGTTAGGGCTTAAGACCAGGACTAAGTGTTTATGGTAAGGGAGTCATTCTGCACCCACGTCCTGGAACTTCCATCTGCGGCTTACGTCCGATCGGTCGCATCCTCTGGCGGTTCAGTTTTAATAGCCCTGACGGGCCGATCACCTTTGTCCTTTGCGGAATTGGTTTTACTGGATGTCCGTGATGGATTTTTGTATTTCGAGGTGCTAACGACGCGACTTAATACTCCTAAAAGGAACTAGCATATTTACCCATAATACCTGCGTTTTTCGATCATTTTTCACAATTATTTACTGCCTTCCAGCAGCCCCACCCGTAGAGCTCTCTTTACCATGGTTTCAATATTAGACGCGCCCAGGCTTCCCCATTTTCTAGCAGGACCGCGTTTTGGGGACTTGTAAAGTTCAAGGTTATGATTATCATTTGGGAAAAGGGTTAGGGTTTAGCTTTGTGGCTTAAGGTTAG